CATGGGGCGTCCTGCGACCCCCAGAGCGGGACCTGCCGCTGTCCCCCGGGCTGGCAGGGCCCTCGCTGCCTGCAGCCCTGCCCGGTGAGTCCTTCTGGCCTCTGGTGGTACTGCTGGGACTGGGGCTCGGTGCCAGTGCCCTGTGCTGACTCCCAGCCTGTCCCCATGCTGCAGAACGGGACATTTGGGGCAGGCTGCAGGGAGCGCTGCGCCTGTGCCCACGCTGACAGCTGTGACCCAGTGACAGGAGAGTGCCACTGCCTGCCCGGCTGGACAGGTAAAGGGGACACACCGGGAGGACCCCGCTGTGCCCTCAGCCATCACCTTCATCCCTCACCTTCCCGCAGGGCCGCAGTGCAAGCAGGGCTGTCCCCACGGCTCCTGGGGCAGGGGATGCCACATGTCCTGCTCCTGCCGCAATGGGGGCTCCTGCTCCCCCCAGGACGGATCCTGCACCTGCGCCCCGGGGTACCGCGGCCCCACCTGCCAGCGCAGTGAGTCAGCACCCCCCAAAATTCCAGGCTGCTCCTTAAGGCCTGAGCTGAGGCCAAGCTCGTTCCTCTCTCCCCAGCCTGTCCCGCCGGCCGCTATGGCAAGCGCTGCTCCCTGAGCTGCTCCTGCGCCAATGGCTCCTCCTGCCACCCCACCAATGGCTCCTGCCTCTGCGCCCCGGGCTGGCGCGGCCCCCGCTGCTCCCAGCGTGAGTGGGCTCAGGGGGACCCTTGATTCAGATGGGGGGTCTGGAGGGAGCAGGGGAGAGAACTGCCCGTGGCCACCTGGGCGACTCCTACGCAGTTCTGGCCTGGGCAGTACGGAGCCATATGTGGACCTGCATGGTCCCAACCAGCTTGTGGCTGGATGGTCCCAGTCTGGGGCTATATGGCACCTCTGTGTCCCCAGCCTGCACCCCCGGCACCTTTGGGCTCCAGTGTGACCAGCTCTGCCGCTGTCCCCGCAATGCCACCTGTGACCCCACCAATGGCACGTGTCCCTGCGCCCCAGGCACGACTGGGCCCCACTGTGAGGCTGGTGAGTGGGGGCAGAGCGGGGGCTCCCTGGGTTCCCTTCCCCACACTAAGGACTGACACTCCTCCCCACCCCATAGGGAATCCTGACCTGCCCTACACCATCGAGCCAGCCCCCCCTGCAGCCTACAGCCCCCTGGGCATGGTGCTGAGCCTGGTGGCTCTGGTGCTATTGCTGGTGGTCGTGGTGGTCACAACCCTGTGCTACCATCGCTGGCAGAAGGGGAAGGAGCGGCGGCACCTGGCCGTGGCCTACAGAGCAGGACAGATGGACACCTCTGACTACATGGTGCCAGGTGAGCCTGGCGTGGTGATGTGGCCCCCGCCCCGCTGGCCCTCTTGCTGACCACGCTGACTCCTTTCCCTCCAGATGTACCCCCAAGCCACCACGCACACTACTACTCCAACCCCAGCTACCACACGCTGTCCCAGTGCCCGCTGCCCTCCTGCGGCCCCCAGGACAGAGCCAGCTCCCTCAAGGTACGGCAGGGACAGCGCAGTGTTGCAGGGGGCAGCACGGCACCACTGCCACCACCTTGGAGACCAACCCCATCCCCTTTTTGGGCTCCAGATGTCTGGCACCCAGCTCTTCCCTAGCATGGAGAGACCCTACAGCTCTGAAGGCAATGCCACGCTGCCTCCTGACTGGAAGCACCTCGGGGCATCGGCCCTGGGCCCCAGGGGTAAGGAGGGGGCAGCTCCGGTGTGGATCCTGGCCTGAGTGGTGTGGGGTGGGCACCTGAGTCCCCTCCCTGCTCAGGATCCCCTGGGAAGGCGCTGGGATGGGGTGGGTGGAGAACTTTAATGCTGGGGAGGAAGATGAAGCAGAGGGAACCCCAAAGCTGCCCTCTTAACAGGCAGGCAGCTGGACCGGAGCTACACCTACAGCCATGGCCTGAGGAAGTGTGACAGCAAAGGTAGGAGTGGGATGGAGAGCATAGGGAAGAGATGGGGATAGGATGGGGATAGGGAAGGGATAAGGATGGGATGGGGAAGGGATAAGCTGCACCTGGGGCAGGTGTGGGAAAAGGGTTGGGGATGGGGATGGAGTTGGGGATAGGATTGGGATGAGATGGGATGTGGAAGGGACAGAGATGGGGCTGAGATGGGGAAGAGGCAGGGGTGGGATGGGGATGGGTTGGAACAGGACTGGATTAGGGTGGGGAAGGAACAGGGATGGGATAGGAAAGGGATGGGGCTGGGACTTGCCCGAGACACAGCCAGACACAACCACCCCTGTGCTCCCTGCCACGTGGGATCCCCGACTGCTTCTCCCCCAGAGCACCCCTGGGAGGGGCTGGGGGCCAGCACCAGCTCCCTGGCCAGCGAGAACCCCTACGCCACCATCAAGGAGCTGCCCCCTGCCACCACCAAGGCCTACGAGGGCAGCTACATGGAGATGAAATCCCCTGTCCAGCGGGAGATGTCCTATGCTGAGATCGGGCTCCTCGAGGAGCCACAGGAGGGTACGGCTGAGGACCCCTTGGCCCTGGTGGCCCTGCCCTGTGGGGACACAACCCCAGCGATGGGGAGTGCATGGCCTTGGGGAGGAAACAGCTGCGGTGACGGGGGCTGCACGGCCCTGGGGGGACATGGCCCTGGTGACAGGGGCTGCACAACCCTGGGGGGATATGACCCTGGGGACAGGAGCTGTCTGTCCCCAGGGGGACATGGCCCTGGTGACAGGGGCTGCACAACCCTGGGGGGATATGACCCTGGGGACAGGAGCTGTCTGTCCCCAGGGGGACATGGCCCTGGTGACAGGGGCTGTCTGTCCCCAGGGGAACATGGCCCTGGTGACAGGGGCTGTCTGTCCCCAGGGGAACATGGCCCTGGTGACAGAGGCTGTCTGTCCCCAGGGGGACATTGGTGATGGGGGCTGTCTGTCCCCAGTGGGACATGGGTGACAGGGGCTGTCTGTTCCTGGGGGGAACATGTCCCCTTGCATACTTCTGTTGTCCCCACAGAGGGTTGTCCTGAAGGGCCCGAAGGTCCCCCCACCAGAGACCCCCCCAGCCACTACGACTCCCCCAAGAACAGCCACATCCCCAGTCACTACGATGTGCCACCTGCCCGCCACTACCCCCCGTCCCCGCCGCTGCGCAGGAAGGACCGCTGAGGGACCCTGCGGACGAGGGACCAGCCACGAGGGCACGGAGGATCCCTGCGGAGACTGGAGTACCCCGGGACTGTCGCTGTCCCTGAGCACGGGCCCGCAGGTGGTGAATAAACGGAGTTTGGTGTGGAGTGTGGGTGCTGTGTGTGACTGCCTGCGGCCGAGCCCCTGCTGAGGGAACCGCACGGCACTGGCACCATGGTGGGAGCGAGGGGGACACCAGGGGGGTCCCTGGCGCGCTGTGGGCACCCCCAGCTCCGTGCTGGGTCACTGCTGCCCCCAGGGTGTGCACGAGGAGGGAACCCAAAAGCTTTTGGGTCCTGCTCACAGTATGGCAGTGCCCATTGTGCACCGTGGCAGGGAACAGAGCTCGTGCAGCACAGGGAAAGAACAGGGGTGGAATGAGATGAGCTTTAAGGTCCTTCCAGCCCAAACCATTCCATGATTTTCTGTGATTCTACCTTTGGAATGACTTTAGCCCTTGGGCTTGAAGCAGGTTTCTTTCCCAGAAGTGTAATAATGAGACACCAATGGGCTCTGGGAAATTTAGCTTGACAAATAAATGCTCTGAGTAACAGGACAAGATGTGCTCTTGGAGAATTAAACCTGTGGTTTAGCAGGCTGTGAAGATGACATTGCAGAATGCATCAGCGTTAGACACCTTGTGATTAAAGGAACAAGGGACATGTGGAATATTAAACCTCACCAGTGGGGAATGCTGCATCCTCAATGCTGTTACTTCCACAGAGGAAGCCCAAGCCAACGTGAACAAAAGTTCTGAGCAAACACTGGGGTTGTTCTGGTGATACAACCGGTGGACTGATTTGGTGGAGGGAGTCCTGAACCATGGATTGTCTTGCTGTTGTAGCCCCTGGGGCTCACGGGGTGGGGAAATGGCTGATGCAAATACGAGCGATGATGCCAGTGGGATTTATATTCTTAAGGATTGGCGTTGCTATTGGTCACCGTAGAATTCCTCATTTGCTCTCTTCTCTCTCATCTCTTCCTTCTGTTCACTACATGGCAATCACCAAGCTGGAAGAATTCCCGGGAAGGAGATTTAACCGGCTCTGAGCCACGGGGGGGTGGTGTTGTCCCAGAACAGGTTCTTTCACCCAGTGTGCAAGAGGCCAATCCACACACGGGGCGAGGTATTTGATTTATTTACTGCTCTGTGCAGAGAGCAGGGCTGGGCAACCTGTCTGGAGACAACAGTGTGAGACTGAAAGATTAAGTGTGAGTGCCACAAACATTCGGCAGCTGGGAAAGGCAGGAGGGGCTTGGCCAAGGCGGGTCTGTGTCTCTGACCGAGAGGAAAGGGAGAGTTTATGAGTGTGGTGGTGAAATCTCAGATCGGCCCGGCCACAGCTCAGGGGCTTTAAAAGACTCAGCTCGGGGGAAAAGGGAGATCCCAGCACCGGAGCACAGCCAGGACAGAGTGACCACACCACTGGATCCAAGGGTGGGCAGAGCTCAGCCCCTCCACATCCCTGCCCATCCCTTGTGGTGCCATCCACCCCTCCATGTCCCTGTTCCCAGGCACGGGATGCCCCCATCTCCCTCCCCACAGTGCACTCAAACCTGTGCCTGTCCCCACAGCCCCTCAGCGCCCCCATCTCTGTTTCTGTCGTGCCCCCAGCCCTGGGAGGGAAGTGCCAGGCAGGGCAGGGGCAGCTCCACGTGCGCTGTGTGACAGAGACCTCAGCGGTACTGCTGGGGACAGGACCCCCATCCTCCCCATCTCCAGCCCCCCACCTCCATCCTCCAGCGCACCTTCAGCGTCCCCCCGGCAGACACAACCCCCCAGATCCCGCTTCACGCCGTGCACGGGGGTTTGAAACATTTATTACCGAGTACCTTCATCCCGCGTATCCCTGCTCCTCCTCATCCTCACTGCTCTCCTGGACGAGGTCGGGGTCCGCAGGGCTGCAGGCCAGGCAGGTGCCCCCCTCCAGCTTCCAGCACGACTCGCAGTACAAGGCGCCGCAGTCGGGATTGGGGCAGGGCTGGTGCTGGGGGGTCTCGGGGGTCCCGCACAAGGTGCAGCTCTGGCGCAGGCAGCGGCGCAGGCAGGGCCAGCGCCGGCGACACCACAGCCACGTCCCCTGAGGCGAGCACGGGCCGCTGTGGGGCTCGGCCAGAAGGGCTGTGGGGTCCAGGAGCGGTGGGTACCCTCACCCGGCACCCCGTGTCCGTGTCCCCACTCACCAGCGTGGGTGGCTGCCGAGCCTGCCGGGCTACGCGCCCGCGCTGCAGGAGCAAGAAATTCTGTCTCTGCCGCAGCAGCCTGTTGTACAGGAACAGCACCCGAGCCTTCTCCCTCTGTGCCGGCAGAGACCGTGAGCGGTGGGTGGCTGGAGACCAAAACCCAGCCCAGAAGCCACCCCCAGGCCGTGCCCAGCCCTCGGAGCGCTCACCTTGGGGAAGTAGAAGGCGGCGATGGCGCGGCGCAGGCGGAACGGGTAGACCTGGGCCAGGCAGAGCAGGGCCAGCGCGCCCAGGGGCAGGCAGGTGTTCAGGTACTGCTGCCTCGTCATCCCGGTGGGCTGCGGCAGGCAGGCTGGGGACACGGCACCGCTGTGAGCCCCCTGAGGCAGCTCCCGGCCGGGTGTGGGGCTGGGGGAGATCCCAACCCTGGCAGGGTCTTACCGAGATTCGAGGTCTCCACTTCGGTGTCGAAGGAGGCGTTGAGGGCCCCGATGGTGCCGCGCAGCAGCTCCGCCATCAGGGATGTGCCCATCACGTTCACGGACAAGTGGTGGCTGGCTGTGGGATGGGAGGATGGGGAGGCTGAGGAGGGGTGGGAGGGCTGAGGGCGTCCCTGCATTGCTGGGGGGCATGGTGGGAGCATGGGCCGGCCCTCCAGGGCCACGAGCTCACTTTGGTAGGAATACTCGATAAAGGAATGATGCTGGATGATGCTGAGAATGCTGAAGATGAAGTGGTCCAGGCCACAGACAAAGAGGAGGAAGAGCAGGACTGGGATGTACCTGAGCAGCTCCAGCACCTGCAGGGAGCAGGGGAGCTGTCACTGCCTGCTGTCCCCGACTCTGACACCCCTGGTTACCCCCAGCCCCTCACCATGTGCTGCAGCTCAGGCCGCTGCAGGGCCGGTTTGCACGGGAAAATAAAAGACGAGATCTCCTCCCGGAGCAGGGGCAGCAGCGTCGGCTTGTTCTGGGTGGGGGGCAGAGGGTGTCTCAGTGCAGCTCCTGGGACACCCAGGGCTGCCCCGCACCCCTTTCCTCCTGCCCAACCTGCTCCCTACGCCGGGCATCGATTTGGCGGAAATAGGTGGTGATGTAGCAGTTGTCGAAGCCGAGGTTGTGAAGGTATTGATGGGTGTAGAGGAAAGCCCTGGTGAGAGAGGATAGCTCTGGGGTGAAGGAGGCACTGGCTGCAACCCCCAGGACCCCTCCCTTGTCTTCATGTCCCCCCCTAGACCTGCTGCCAAAGAAGGCCCCCACCCCTCTGTGCCCCACAGCTGGCACAGGGGTGTCACCCCCACCCCCTGACCATCGCAAGGCTCACGAGAAGAAGACGAAGAGGAAGGTGAAGGACAGCAGCAGGCGGAAGAAGGAGACAGCCAGGCCCAGGCGGGCGCCTTCCCTCTGCAGCTGCGAGGTCACCTCCTGCCGCAGCTGCTCCGCTATCTCAGTGCCCACCAGCATCTTATGGTGCTCCTCCTGCGGCAGAGGGGCCATGGGGCAGGGCAGGAGCTGGCCATGGGCACAGGCACCCACAGGATGCCCAGGCACTCACCTGGTAGGAAATGCTGGCGCTGAACTCCTGTCTGAGGCTGTTGACAGAGCTGTTCACCTGGTCATACATCTTCCCAAAGTTCCCATCCACAGGGATCCTGTTCTCGCACCAGCGGCTCATGACTGCGGAGATGGAAACAGCTGTGGCTGCTGTGCCAGGGGCTGCAGGGGCAGAACTGGATCTGCCCCTCCAAGGGAGCACAGGGTCAGGGTCACCTACGTTTGACCGAGTGGCAGAGGAACCCAAACTGCATGGGCAGGCAGATGAGGTGGCTGACGAGGGGCACGGTCACTTTTTCTTTGCATTTCTTGTACATGTTCTGGAAATGGCCTGTGCAGCGCTGCAGGCCCCTCTCGATCACAGCTGGGTGGATTACAGGAGCCCTCAGCTGCCTGTGCAGCCCCAGCCCCACCGGCCCAGCCCTCAACCGGGGCTCCCTGTGGGGACAGCTCTGGCATCTGGGCCAGTCCCTGTCCACCCCACTCACCTTCACAGCGAAGTTTGGTCTTTGTTTCATAGAGCTCCTGGGTGCTGGGGGCCGGCTGCGTGCCCGTGTCTGGGCGCTGCCGCAGGTCGTAGCCCTCCTCGCTGGCCACCTGCTCGTTCAGCTCCATGAAGGCGCGCGAGATGTTCTGCATCTCAGTGTTGAGGGTCTCTGCGCTCCTCTGCCAGGGCAGGCAGACACAGGCAGAGGCTTGGTCCTGCTCCCCTGGCCCCCCCAGCACCCACTGCCCCAGACCCCTCCTCACCACCAGCTCTTCCATGACTTGGCGCAGGGGGGTTGTCGATGCCTGCCAGAGGTGTTGTGTGTGGTTGACCTGTAGCTCCACCACGCAGTCCATCGAGCGCTTTGTCTCCATCAGGTTGTACCAGAGGTTGGCCCCAGGCCCTGGTGGCAGCAGGGGTGGCTCAGAGCTCACCAGCTCCCAGAACCCCACTGGGGGACTCGGGGATATGGGGGGACCCTACCGTTGTAGATGGCAGCAAAGACGAAGGAGACAACATAGAGCCGACCCTCCTTTCCCAGGAACTTGGGGACCATGAGCATGTTGGCACAGCGGAACTGGGGGGATGTGGCCCAGCCCAAGGCAGTCACCACTGTGAAGAGCAGAGAGCTGACCCCGTGGTCCCACAGAGAACCCCCTGGGGCTCCTGACGGTCCCCATCACCTCAGCCCCCTCCTCACCTGTCAGCCCCCAGGTAAGCTTCACCCTCTGTGTCTCTGGCAGGTCCAGAGGCATGATGAGGAGGTGGCAGAGCCCTGCAACACCCAACAATGTGTCCTGAGCTTCCAGCACCACCAGCCCCACGCTGTGCACGGCACCAGGACACACTCACCGAGGCCAAGGAGCATCCCAAAGCCAGCGCCCAGCAGAGCCTTTCTGCCGCGATACTCATCCGGCCGGCTCCAGAGGAACCGGCTGCACGGGCTGGGCAGGACCGAGACCACCACCCGCTTCAGGACTGGGTGGGGAGGGAGGGAGGTGTCAGCCCTGCTCTCTCCCACTGCCCACAGGCAGCCTGGCTGGGAGGGGAGTGGGAGCAGAGCTCACTTGTGTTGGGGGGTTTCTGAGGATGGCGCGATTCTACCCCAGAATTGATGCCGGTGGGATGCTCCAGTGAAGAGGGAACATGGCTGGGTGTCTGCAGGACCACCACCTCCTGCAGCTCTCTGTCCCTTCTCTCAGCTTGCTCCTTGTGGTCAGAGCTGTGTCTGGCAGTGGGGAGACAAGTGTTGGGGACCAGCATTCCCAGGGCTGGAAGGGAAGGAGGACATTGCCATCCCCACAGGCAGCCCTCACCTGGAGAGCATCCCCTCGCTCTCCTCCTCCTCCAGCTGGTCCTGCAGCAGGGTGGCCGTTCTGGAGGGGAGTCTCTGGCCCTTTATCATGTCCTTGATGCGCTGCAGCAGCTGCCGCCCTCGCTCCTGGCCCCGCAGCGCCCGCACAGCACCCAGCCACAGCTCTGGTGTCTCCTCATCACTGGAGTCCCTGCAGGGGCAGAGGGGGCAAGGGTGAACTGCAGCCCCCCAGGCTTGGCTGGGCTCCCAGCACCCCTCTGCTCACATCTCCTCATCCCCAGAGTCCGGGTAGCTCAGGGGGGCCATGCAGACAGAGCAGGTGTTGTTCAGGGCTCTGTAGCACTCGCTGCAATACAACCCTGTGGAAAATGGGCCTGTCAGGGCAAACGTGGGATCCTCTGGGGAGGGGTCCCCAAGCCATGTGGGCTCCTACCTTTGCAGCCAGGCGTGATGCAGGCGCTGAGACCCGGCTGCTCTGCAGTCCCACAGACCAGGCAGTGTTTGTGCTGGATGCCCAAGCAACGAGCGAGGCGGACAAGGAGAGGGAACCTGCAAGCACAGAGCAAATGATCCATGGGGCAGTGTCAAACCCGAGGTCCTTGCCACAGATCCCTGGGGATGATGCTGCCCTTTTCCATCCCCTGGAAGAGCTTACCTGGAGATGAGGATGAGGAAGAACCTGCTTTTCCCAGTGTCAGCCAAGTTCTGGGTGCCAGCTTGGCGCAGGGCAAATATCAGCCATTCCCGCCGTGCCCGGATGATATTGTGGAGGAAGGCCACGCGCTCCTGGCATGGAGGGGATGGGGTGAGGGCAGCTGGTGGCTGAGGGAGTGTAGAGGGACACACACACACACACAGGGGGCTTCTCACCTGCTCACGGGATGGGAAGTAGGCGGCACACACTGCCCGGCGCAGGCGCGCCATGTAGGAACCGAAGATGCAGATGAAGAGCCAGACACCGTACAGGATTCCTGGTGGGAAGAAAACGAGTTATGTAGGTGTGGCACCACCCTATATCCCCTCACCCACCTGAGTCATTGAGGCTGCAGCACCCCCATTCTGCACACCTATGGTGATGTAGGTGCTGTGGTTGGGCTCCACAGGCTCGATGAGGCAGACCTGGGACAGCACTGAGACTTTGCCCTCCTGCAGCGTGTTGAAGGCAGACACCAGATCCTGGAAGATCTCACTGGTGTAGCCCGTCCCATTGACACTGATGTTCATCGTCGATGGTGCTGTGGGCGAGCGGCTCAGACCTGGGGCCATCCCACAGCCCTGAGCCCCAGCCAGCAGAGCACCCAAGGGTGCTGCTCACCCCTGGCGATGATCTCCGCGCTCAGCTGGTGCCGGAACAGGTCAAGCAGCCAGAAGATGCTGTAGTCAGCCAGGATGATGCTGAGCCCCAGCAGCACGTGCCGCAGGAACCCAAACAGCTGCAGCCCGTACTGGCGTCGCTCCCTCTTTGACAACCACAGCGCACCTGGATGGCCACGGGAGCACCATGAGGTGGCTCAGGGGGCTCAGGGCTGGGCTGGGGGATACCCTGGTGGGCAGAGCTGACCTGGGGGGATGTAGCGGCCCCTCTCCCACGCCGACAGGGGCAGCACGGTGGGTCTGCCCTCCTCTGCGCACCGCAGGTCCAGCTCCACAAAGCGCCGCGTGATGTAAATGTTGTCAAAGGTGTCGTCCCGCAGGTAGCGGCGCTGGTACCGCATCGCTCTGGGGGCACAGCAGGGAAGGTGAGCACCTGCACGCCAGGGCCCCCATGGGTCACTGGAGCACAACTCACTGGTAGCACAAGTAGAGGATGGCCAAGATGGAGATGTAGGAGAAGAGCTCCAGGACATGGTAATAGGGCTCCATGTGCTGCTGCACAGCCTCCATCATGTCGGCAGACACCTCCCCCAGGCTCTTGCTGGCGTTGAGGTTGACACTGAAGTGGTGCACAACCGAGATGTTGAACTCAAACTCAGCACGGACACGGTTCAGGGCATCCGTGAGGGCTGCAGAGGTGACAAGAGGTTCCGTGCACTGCAGCGAGAACCAGAGAAGGAGCGCAGAGAAGGACCCCCCACCCCCCCATGGGACTGGGATACTCACGAGCTGTGACACTGATCCGGATGAATTTCTGGATGTACTGAGGGATGGAGCAGAACATGGCAGCAACTGCAGAGAAGGGGATCTCTTCTAGGGCTGGGTCCCCGTGATGGGGACAGATCTGCCCCATCACCCCATTAGCCCCCCGTGGCAGAGGGACAGGCACTCACGAGCACCGGTTACGTGGCAGAGGACCTTGAAGCTGTGGACAACATAGCAGACGTGGAAGAAGAGGGGGAGGGCACGCTCACATCTGTCCTTGGCTTTGTCCATGTAGCGAAAGCAGCTGCTCTGGGGTGACCCCAGCTCACGGTTACAGATGTTACCAGCCCTCGCCAGCCACAGCCAGACGTTGCGCAGGGCTCGGGCTGTGGGCAGGGAGAGGGCATTGGAGATGGGGATGGACTGAAAGGAGGGTGGGGGGTGCTGGGGGTGGGGACACCCCCGGGGACCCCACTCACCAACGTGTCTGGTGGAGTCTATGATGGAGCGGACAAACTTACGGACTCGGTCACCCACCACCTTGGCGTTCTGGCCAAGCTCCTTGATCTTCTTCTGCACATCTGCAGAGAGAGGGGACACCTGAGCGTACCCCAAAGAGTGAGGGTAGCCTGAGGTGTCTGTGGCTCTCCCAGGAAGGGCCTCTCTAGTCCCTGCACTTTCCCCCAGCCCCCAGCTCACTCAGCAGCGGCTCCTTGGCGCGTTGCAGCCGCTCGGCCGTCTGGTTTTGGGCCAGTTCAGCCCCACATGACAGCGCCTTGGCGACCTGGGAGATGTTGTGCAGGAGATTGGTGCCGGGGCCTTGCATGGTCAGGCACAGCACCAGCATCATGATCATCATCTTCCCCTCCTCTGCAAAAACAGGGCAGTCCTGGGGCTCAGCCAGGCGCCGGCATCCCCTGGCACTCCCAGCTCCCAGCGCAAGACCCGTGGCTGCTTACTGGTGAAGAAGTGTGGCAGTGCCAGCAGCACAATCCTCCGTATCTTGGTGGAGAAGGCCATGCCCAGCCCCAGCCCCGCTCCCAGGGTGATGGTAATGCTCAGGCAGTACCAGACATTGTGGCCCTGCACCAGCAGCACCAGAGCCCCATAAATGCTGGCCAGAGCCAGGCCCAGGGTGAGGCCACCGAGGCTGCGGGCGAACTCCTGGGCCTTGTTTGGATCCTCTGGCCTGCGCTTGGTCCCCGGTGACAGAACCCGCTTCTTGCACCGGCTCCTCCAGGCTCTCAGGGCTCTGCCCAGCCGCGAGACCAGCCTCATGCTGAGGTTCCTGCTGGTCCCTCTCCGTGGATAACCACAGACTGAGGGAGCGGTTTCCAACCGCTTGCAGGGGTCCCACCGTTGTCAGTTTCCGTTGCCTTCGGAACACTTCAGCGGTTTCAGTTGCACTCTGCTGCAGTGGGTGCTGCTCACCCTGATGTTCATCTTCCTAGCAGAGAAATTCTGTGTAATTACGTGTCAGTAATTGCAGCTTTAATAAGGCTCAGCTCTTGCAGAGAGAAGAAACTTGAGCCAATCCATCAGTGGGAACCAGAGCCCGTGGAACACTGAACACACAGAGCAGGGACGCTTGGCCACACAACCACGAGATGGAGAGGAACAAAGACGGCCACCAGCCAAAAGGGCAAGGTGGGTAATTGCAGCAAGAGAAGATCATGACCACTGAGTCAAGAAACCCACTGACCCAAAAGGAGAAAACTGAGCATGCAGCCTAATTAGCATGAGAAACAAGAGAATCATTTAACCAATAGAAGAGAAAATACTAATTAATACTAATTAATGAGGAACTGTGTAACTTGCAGAACATGAATGTTTAATACTTGTTTGCTAAAGTGTAGAAATAGTGAACACTTTGCTCACTGGAGGTTGCACTGGGGATTGACCCTGGCACAGAACTGAAAACAAATCAGATCCCTCGGCTCTGGGTGGGATTGGCCTCTTGCACAAACAGGGGAAGGAACCCATTTCAGGACAACATTTTGGTGACCCAGATGGGATGGCCATAAAGCCTTGCTTGGATCATCTTCCTGCACCCAGTAATGGAGAATGGGATGGAGCAGGACTCCTGCGGTGTCTCGGGCTGCGAGCGGTGCTGGAGGGGGGTGGGAGTTTATGTCCTGCAGACCCCAGCCTCCTCCAGGACAGCAGCAAGGAGGGAGCCCCAGCAATGAATGAAGTGGGGTCTGAGGGGTGCATCTGGCAGGGCATTGAAAGGGGGTGTGGGGGAAGTGGGGGGTCTTCTGCGTGTGAACGGGTGAAGGTGGGGCTGTGTGGTGGCTGGGTAATGAGGATGGGGGTCTCTGCTGACTGGGATGATGAAGGTGGGGGTCTCCATTGCATGAGGAGATAAAGGCAGGGGGGTCTGGAGTACAGAATGGTGATGGTGGAGTGTCTCTGCTGTAATGTGGGGGTCTCTTCTGCCCTGGGGGATGGCGGCAGGGGGCTCTGCCCACCGGGGTGGTGAAGATGGGGGTCTTCAGTGTACAGGATGATGAAGGAGGGGTCTCTAGAGCATGAGATGGTGAAGGTGAGTGCCTCTGCTCTCCAGGGAAGTGAAGGTGGGGGTCTCCACTCTAGGGGGTGATGAGGGCAGGGGTCTCGGGATGGGCAGGGGTCCCTCCCGCAGCAGCACCACCGGGCTCTCAGCAGCGGTACCCCGGCCAGCACCAGACCCTCCCGGCGCACAAGGAGCCGCCCCCGCCCCGCCCCGGGCTGGGCGGTGCCGGGGGAGCGGAACGGGGCCACGGGGCCGGCAGGGAAGTTCCGCCCCCGGGCCGGGCCGGGCGGGGTCGGTGCCGGTGGCGGGGCCGGGGCCATGCGCGACGGGAACCGGCGGGGGCGGCCACGGCGGGGCGGCGCGGCCCGGGGGGGCCATGGGGCCGCGGCTGCTGCTCGCCGCGGGGCTGCTGCTCGCCGCTGACACCGGCAGCGCTGCAGGTGAGCGGGGAACTGGGGTCCCGAGTGGGGGCGTCGGTGGTGACCGCGGACCGGGGCATCGCGGGGATACCCACGGGGAGCGGCCCGGGAGGACCGGGATGGGATCGGGAGTCGTAGCCTCATCTGGAAGCTTGTTGCCCCCTCCCCAGGATGTCCGGTGTGTCCTCCCGGTACGCTCGGTGCGTCCCCCGGACGCGCGGGCGTCCCTCCCCGGGATGCTCGGGGGTCCCTCCCCGGGATGCTCGGTGCGGTTCTGTCCAGCCGCCGGGACCCGGCGCTCCCCGGGCTGGTGGGGCCGGGGAAGCGGGGTTTGTGTGCCCACTCCAAACCCCCTCCGGTATTCCCCAAAATGGGATTCCATGGGCAGGGGTTCCCCAAAAGCTGTCGGGAGCGGTGGCTCGGAGTCAGCCGAGCCGGGCTCCCAGCCCTGCCCAGTCTCTGTGCTGGTTGTACTGGGCAGCCGGCCGAGGTGATGCAAGGCTTGGCCGAGGAGCCCATCCCGTCCTCCTGCACCCCCCGAACAGGGGGGTTCCCCACGAGCTCTGCTGGGAGCCGTGCCCTTGGCTGCTGTGAAGTCAGTGTGGGGGGTCCCGGTTAATGCTGCCCCCCTGCCCAGGCGGGCAGCAGTGGGTGACGGCAGGGGTCTGTAATGTGACGGGATTCCGATGGGTGACCAGGAGGGTCCAGGGTGCAGGCTGGCAGTCCAGGATGTGATGGGTGACCCTGGGGGTCTGGGATGTGAGGAGTGACGCAGTGCTGACACGGCGGCCCCGGGCCCTGTGCAGGTGGCAGCTCGCAGCAGCACAGTGAAGAATTAGGACACTCCTGGTCTGTGACCCCGTGGGTTCTGTGGGATAACCAGACACTCAGCTTGGCAGAAGCGACCCAGGTGAGCCCCTGCCCACATTCCTGGGGTCCCGTACGTTTGTGACAGTGCCGTGGGGGCTGCCTGCACCCTGCCACCTCCCCCTGCCCTCTTTTCAGTGCAGGACATGCGGTGTGCTGGTGCCACATCCCCGAGGTTCCCAGCACCCAGAGCCCCTGGCGTCCCAGAAGCAGTGGGGAGGGGAGCCCTCAGCAAATCGCCCTTTCCCTCCTGATGCTGGGAGGGACCTTTCTGGGTCGGGGTACCCACCCTGCGTCCCTCCCGGCTGGGGCGGAAGGGCCCAGCCCACCTCGCGGCCGTCGGGAGTCTCTCCAATGTTTCCGCCGCGCTGCACCGGGCAGGAAGAGCGGGGGGAACGGGGTGGGGGCCCCGCTCGGTCCAACCCCCCTTTCCCTACACAATGATCCCGGGAGGGAGGGACGCTTCCTGCGGGGTGGGCAGGGCATCCCTTCCGAACCTCTCCCTCCGGGCACGCGCCAGGGCCAGGCGTGTCCCCGGCCGCCGCGGGGGTCACCGTGCTCCGGGGGGTGCGAGGGCGTGGGGCAGCCTGGGTCAGGGGGTGCCCCCTAAACCGCGGCCTGTGGCAGGGGGGGTTCCCCGCCCGTCTGAGAGTCCTGCTGGAGCTGGAGGGGATGCGGCTGCTGCTGGAGCTGGAGCAAAACTGGTGAGCCCGTAGTTCCGGGAGCGACAGCAGGGCGTGGGATGGAGCTCCTGGAGCCATGCAGGGTGGGGATCCTCCTGGGACCCTGGGCTCTGTCTCTATCCGTGGTGGAGTGGGGGTCCCTTATTCCCTGTCTCCATCCATGGCACAGGTGGGGTGGGGGCTCCGGGGTGCAGGGTGGGAGGTGGCGGGTCCTCCCTTCCTGCCAGGGTGTGCTCAGGACAGGGTGAGCTGGGTGTCCCTGCTGTGGGGTGACACGAGTCTCTGGCAGGGAGCTGGTGCAGGGCACCGGGGCACTGCTCTATTACCTGCCTGACGGCACACGGGTGATCCAGGAGCCCAGTGAGCAGGTACGGGCTCAGGCCTGGCTGTCACCTGTGCTGTCCCCAAGCTGTCCCTGTTCCCCAGGGACACCCCAGCCTGAGGCTGGATCCTGAGCCCCCTTCTCTGCTGCAGGAGCACTGCTGCTATCAGGGGACAGTACAAGGCTTCCCTGGCTCCTGGGCCAACCTCTGTGCCTGCGCTGGACTCAGGTGAGCCCCCGAGCCCAGTGCTCTGTGAGCCCACTCCCACTGTGCTGCTGATGGGACAGGCTCCATGTACCAGCTCCTCTGTCCTTCCCCAGCGGCCGCCTCTGGCTGTCGGACAGCAGGAGCTACACGCTGGAGCCGGACACCAGCCCCCAAGGGCAACATATGGCATCCCACCTTCGAGTGGTCCAGCTGGAGCCACAGAGCTGTGGGCAGGGCCCCCGCCCCAGGGCAGAGACAGCAGAGCCCCTCTGGCCACAGAGGGTAGGTCACCCGGGGGTCTTTCCCCACAGAGTGTCCCTGTCCCAGCACTCTGACCCCTCTCTGTCCCCAGGACAAGCGGGCAGCGGCAGAACAGCGCTTTGTGGAGCTGGTGATGGTGGTGGACCATGCTGCGGTGAGTGCTGGGCGGTGTCCCCAGAAGAGTGTGGGTGCCCTTCCCACAGCCACCCCTCTGAGCCCTTTTTTTTTTTTTTGAAGTAAAACGAAAGAGAAATTTTTATGTGTGTATATGTGTGCAGAGTTAGAATGTTTGTTTTAACAGTAAGTTGTCGATATAAAAATAAAAAGTAAAATGTCCTAAAGTGAGTGTGATATTAAATTATATCCCCATTCGTCCACCTAACCCAAAAATAAGTTTTATATCCTTAAAACTTCATCTAAAAATAAAAGTAAGTAAAAAAAAAACACCAAGTCTGTTATCAAAAACTGTACTTCCTCCCCCCACATCCCAAAGCAAACTTTTAACTACAACACAACCAACAAAAAACAAATCACATTAACTTTCTGTTTCCCCAGTTCCAGAATTACCCCAGCCTACAGCGTGTTCGCACCCGGACCCTGGAAATTGCCAACCAGGTGGATGTGGTGAGTCACCGTGGGCTTTGTCCATCCCAGCCCAGTGCCCGGCCGTGCCCTTGCCGCTGCAGTGCTGGGGGGGCTCTGACCCCTCTGTGCCCCCCCAGTTTTTCCATCCCCTGGGAGTGCGGGTGGCCCTGCTGGCGGTGGAGGTCTGGAGCGAGGGTGACAAGATCGCGGTGGGCAGCAGCGCCCGGGCCGTGCTGGAGCGGTTCCTGCGCTGGCGTCAGGAGGAGCTGCTGCCCCAGCTGCCCCACGACAACGCCCAGCTCCTGACGTGAGTGGGGGACAGGGTGGGGACAGGGGGATGAGGCCTCAACAGCCCCCCAACCCTCTCTGCTCTCTCCCCAGAGGCGCCCACTTTGTTGATGTCTCAGTAGGGATGTCG